GGATGCTGATCCAAAAATGGGGGAGAGGGGCACAGGAAAAATGGAGGAACTTTGATTGGGCAAAGGGGAGGGTGGGGAAGGAAGGGTGCATGGGGGCAGGATAGATGGTGAAATGAAATAAACATCATTACTTTAGGTGCATGTATGACTGCACATATGGTGTAACACTACATCATGTACACCATAGAAATGAAAAGTTGTGCTGCAATTGTGTACAATGAATAAAAATGCATTCTGCTGTCATGTATACCTAAATAGAATAAATAAATCTTTAAAAATCGGAAAATAAATAAATAAGAGGGATATTGCAATACAGACCATCTTAAATGCAATTATTGGTTGATTCTAACCTTAAAAATAAGGATTTACTCACAGATCATAAAGTTACCAAAGCAGATCCAGTAGAAATTTGACATCAGAATCAGAATCATGCATTTACTGTAAAACAAAAAAAAAATTGAGCCACAGCTACTCTAAATTACTTATTTACTTGGTTGTTGGTAGGAATCTGGTTGTTTTGTCTAAATCTTTGCATGGTACACTGGAGTAGGAGGGGGAAAGTGTATCTGGCTGGAAGTAATGAGATGCCTGAATAAAAATGGAGTTTGAATGTGATCAAATTAGGTTTCATAACTGTTGTTAAGTAAGGAAATCTGAACACTGTTTTCAAGATTGTGAAGTATGGACTATGTTACCTTATATTGTACAGGGCTAATTTAGCTTCCTAAATTTCTGATATATATATATATAAGCTTTATATATTCTGTTTATACATTTTAGGTTGTCTAATTAGGTACCTAGAGATCCAGGATAGATATGTCTTACTAGTGAATTGTACATTTTATCATTACTTCACAACTTGAAATCCTATTTGTTTTTTACTTTAAAATACGCCTACTATAATTACTGTCACTCCAGTTTTCATTTAGAATGTCTGTAAGACATTTATATATTATACCTATTCCTTGTTTAACAATGTTAATTTATTCCTAAAATTCTTACCACTAAATTTATTTTAGGGTAATAGTAAAATCATTTTAATAATAATGTATTCAGTTAATAATATTCAATTATTTGTTTATTGCTAAACAAAATCACACAGCAGAACCTGCACCATGTGAGTCATGTAACAGTTTGATTTCCTTTTAGGGCATTCTTTGTATGTTTCACATAAGGAAGTGTAGGTCAGAAACAGAAGTCCAAAATGGCAGACGTAGGGGTTAACTCAGGTCTGACTGATTTCCCAAACCGCATTCTTCCCACACCACTCTGCCTCAGATACACCCATCTGCCATCAGCCTCATCATTCCTGCAGAGAACCACTGAGTTGTCTCCATTAAGCTGTCACCATTGGTTCAGGAGAGGTGTCTTGTATTGTGCTCTAAAGTACAAGTCTTAATGCTCCTTCATATCACAACCATTCAAATGGCTAAGTTAAAGAAAAAGTCACTGTCACTCTCAATTATTCTCTTCCCCATCCCATACCCTATGCTCACCTTTTGAAAAGGTTTGAAACTTCTCTACCCTGTTAACCTGAATGTGATTTCTAATGAACCTAGAGCCTCATGATGTGTAAAATCACACAGCAGAACCTGCACCACGTGAGTCAAGTATCATCACCTTGGGTTCTAGACTCTTTGCTTGCTTTACTGTAGGCTAACCATTCACTAGTGTTTCTAGCAGCCACACCATCCTGAATTTACTGAGGATTCAAACTATGAAGTGTTTTCCACACATATGTTGTTAAGTCACCTCTTTTTCAACCTAGTTGAGTTTTGGGATGCTTACAAAAACCCATATGTTCTCCTTGATCAACATTGTTTTTATTACTCTAATTGACTTTAACATGAAACTCTTCATTCAAAAAAAAATCCCCCATGTTTTTTACACATCTCCCCATTGAGATCATCTTTGGAAAGCCAAACTTGAACTTTTAAAAATATGATCCTAAAAAGTAAATATTTGGGCCAATGCATGGTGGATTTGCTTCCAGTCAACAGCTACAACATGATTTCTTCTCTGGACAGAAATGATTGTATGAAAACATACATGAATAGATTATAGACTTTTGCCCTTATTGTTTTATGATGTTTAAAGGTAAATAAAAAAACTAAAGTTCTTGTGTCACATAAATGAATCATAGTTATAATAATGATAGCAAAAGGGTGTAATTTTTTGGTATTTCTAAAATATGTCAGTTGACAGAAGTTAAAGTGTGGGCAAAAGAAATACATAAGCTTCTAAGCCTGTACTTTACATGGAGTCCCATGTGCCCATCAGATATAGTTGTGTGAACCAGGAAAGATAAATTCAAACAATGTTTTGGAGAAACCTGCTTATCAGCAAACGTATGACAGACATTTCATACTACTGATTGGTCTTTTATACTCTAAGACTGAATCTCATATATTTAAAAGCTTCCTGCTGTACCTACAAACTTTTTTTCTTTACAAGTAATATCCAGTTTTGAAAATGACGAGAACTTTGCTTTCAAGAAAGACTTCTTCTCAAAGCTATTTAGATAATAATTTTCCCCTTTCACTAAGCTGCAACAAAATGCATAACTTTGTCCCTCCTGATTCACACAACTCTAACCAATGTGGATGCGGCATGCCACTAATACACTCTCATTCTCTTCCCATTAAGTCTTTCATTTAACAAGGGGAGATCATAATGGGGTTTCAGGAGAAAATCTCAAGTTACGTGGGATTCCTGCTTATGGTGGCTTATGTGTGTGGCCAACCACTTCTTAAAAATTCATGTTATGATTGTTATTACCTTTTAGGGTAAATCAAAAAGGACCATTTGTCATTTCTTCTCGTTTCTTTATCCATCAGCAAACACCAGGGTCTCCCCAGGCTTTCCCTGGGATGTTGGCCTAGCTGACTTACTGCGTCTTACTGTGGCTTCCACTAGGAGATGTCATATACAAAGCTTGAGTGCTTAGAAGACAAAGATAAAGGCAAACTCAATACCAGAACAACTTAGTCGATGCTTCTCTTCTTCCATTATTGAGGCTAGCTTAACAATATAAAGCTCTCTTTCTAAAATGTCTTATGAAGTACTCTATTCATACAACAGTCTCCACTGGGGAATGCCTTCTGTCTTCTAAATTAAAAAAAAAAAAAAGAAATGCTGACAGTGAAATAAGTGGGACCAGATTTGCTTTCTGTCAAAGCTGTGTGTTAAAATTCATCTCTTCTAAGCATCTACCATTGTCCAGTAAATCTAGATAATATTGCCATTTTCCTAAATCCCAGGCACCAAGATTCATCAAGGTCTCAGGGGATTATCCTGAGGCATCAAAATCTCCAGATGATCGCTGCTTTCACAATTTAATAAATTAGCTTTAGCCCAAGTGTTTTATTCTGAGCTTAAGCCTCACTGTTCTTGGGATTTTTCCCCCCATCATAAATCTTTAGACTCAAGCCAATGACTCTGTAGTCTCAACATACAATGAAGCTATTTTAAAATCATTTGTGGTAAGATGTATGTATAAGAATGAATGCAGCAAAGGCTGAATGAAGTTTAAGGTTGCAAATCACTATGTACTGGGCAAGACTTACAACATTCTGTCAGAATCTAGATATTATCTTCAAAAAATGATTTTCCTACTCTAAGGAATATTATATGGCAATTTTTATGGGTTTTAAAATTACTTTTGTATTGGTTTGCCTTTGCAGCACTTCCAAGATGCTGTAAATGATTACAACCATTAGTACTTTGAGTTACATTTAAAACCATGTAGGTAGCAAAGTAACATAGTAGCATTATACCAGAATATTCAAATCAGAAAGTATAGCTCAATGAAATAAAACTCTGCACCTCCCTCCATAATACCCTCTAACTCTCCTTCCCCCTCCAAATAAATAATTTTAGAACTATAGGCATATTTTCAAAAGCTTAATAACTAAGCATTTTGAAATCTCATTTATGGTATTTCTATTTATCAAATGTTTAAATACAAATGTTTAAATACAAATTTTCGAAACATTAAGAGTGTTTTAAAGGTTAATAAATGCTCTTCATTTAAGTCACATTTCAATATTGATGTCTTGCATTGTATCTTTTTTATTTCCTTTCCTGAGATAAAATGTAATGGCACTGTTTATCTTAAAATTTACCATAAATTGGCCATTAATAGGACTCAATATCTTATTTTATGAATACAGTTGTCTATTGCATTTGGTATAAGATACATGAACTAATTACTGAGGTAATAATTACACCTAACAATTGGATAAGGTCTTAAAGTTTTCAAGGAGCTTTTAATTCATGAAATTGACACCAAGGCCCTGAAGAAAACCCTCTTCAATTGATTTGTCAAGTATTTAAAGAAAATTTTTACTTTTCCCATAAAATCATCATCTTTGGGGGTATTCTAATAGCAAGCTATTCCTTTATCATACATAAGGGAGAAGGGAATCTTAGGCTGTCGTTTTTCCACATTTCTGTGTGTGGTGTGCTCACCATGGTCTTGAGCTCAGCGTGGCGGAGAGAAGGCAAACTGAATTTCCCTTCAGTGGCTTTACTCTGGGAGCCCAGAGTGACTTAAGAGCTTCCTGGCAGTCCACATTTATGTTAAGAGTATTTGGACTGCAGAAATAAAGCAAGCATAACAAGACTCCTACACCGCACCACAGCGATGGTTTAAAAAGGACTGTCTTTAAAGCTTTGAAAACAGAAAGCAAAAATCAAGCAAGCTGTCTGCAGCCCTGTGCAAAAAAAAAAAAAAAGATCTCTTTCCCATCCAAACTCTGCAAAACCAGCTTCCCTTGCAAAACCCACAAGCGAGAGGAGGGAACGCCACCACCACCACTCCAAAGTGGAGTTTCAGGCCCATCATTAGCGGTTTGCGTCGCCGTCTAGTTGCTCTGGCTTCATGAATGAAATATGCAGATGGCATCTCACACGGGCTCTTCCAGGGAGCAAGAAGAAGGTCACAGGACACAACCCCCCCCCCAGCCAGAGCCCCAGAGACCTGTGAACGGGGTACTTACACCTCCAAACGCGTCCAGCTGGCAGCTCTGGAGACACCTAGCCCATGTCTTCAGGGCACTGTCGCTGCCATCCGCGGTGGAAATGGACTTAAATGACACAGGGACCCACGGAGTGCTGGACAGCGGCTCGGGGCACCAGAGGCCAGGAGCACTGAACGCACGTGACTGGTACGGAACCCGGGAGGGCAATAGCTGGTAAATACCCTCCGATGGGCCCGCAGGGGCAGGGGCCGAGCCCAGCGCCGCTGCTCGCCGGGGTCTTGTGTAACAGCGAAGGCGGCTCAGTCCCTCTGACGGGCGGCGAAGCGAGGCTGCTCCGGGCGTCTGGGCGGTCCTAGCGCCTGCCCCAGGTTAGCGCACGGGGTGTCACCAGGGGCTCCTGGCCTCTGGCTCTTCTTCCAGGGATTGGTGATCATCAGGGTGACCCTGGGGTTTGTTTATGCCAGAAATGTTAAGTTTGCTTGTGCCCATCTGACTGTGACAGAAAACAAAAAGGATCCCATCTCTTAAGTCCCTTAAGTAAAAGGTGCGTGTTCAAATGTTGAAGGCAGTTGGAAAGGAAACCAACATGCAATTGTTTTGTTTAGGGATCCTTTTTTTTTTTTCATTTTATTTTTTTCCCATAGTTAAATGCAAAGGAGAAAGATAAAGAAGAGAGGGCTTTTAAAAAAAAAAAAAAAAGTCTGATATTCCTATATTTGTAAACATTGCTCATTAAGGTCTTATGGAGTTCACGTGAGTCCTATTCACAATTATAAAATGAAACAAAGGCAAAAACAAAACCTCCAGCAGCTTATTCTTTAAAAGTGACAAAATGTACAAGTGCCACTTCATGGAAACACCCTTCACCTTTCTCTATTCACTGCCCCCATTTTTTTTTCTTTGTAGTACCTTCTCAAGTGACATTTATTTTTTCTTTATTTAGTTATCAACCAACTCCCCACTGCATAATACCTAGGAAGGAACATGTTCTATTTATTTTGATAAAGGAACCCTGAGAAGATGACTGAGCACACAGAAGCCCTAGTAAATGTCTGAGAAGAAGGACCTGACTTGGGCTGTAAGCCGAGAAACTGCAGCATATTACATGGGTGCAGGAGTCAGGCTCTTAGCCAATTGAATTTAATGTAGCACACCTCTCTAAGCCACTACTCTCATTAAGGGACTGTGCTAAGGACACCCTTACCTCTTAGAAACTTATAATTTAAACATAGAGAAAATATATTCATATAGACCTACAATAAAAATTTATGTATACGTAAAATATTGGTCATAGAGAATGGACTATATAAGTCAAGATGTGCTCTATTTGCTAGGGGCTTCTAGGTTTTGATATTGAGCATGGTGTAGAGCTGAAGGATTAGGTCTGAATATTCAATACTGATTTCCATTTTCCCAGAGTATGTAGTAGAGTTGGAGTGACAGTGGGCAGCTTGGTATAGAAGGGACCAGAATCAGAAAAGTTAACACCAGTAAGATTTATTAGCAGTAGCTTCACAGAGTATCTACATGTAGCAAGACAGATGAAGAGAGGGGATGCTCTAGGGTGGGTGCTGTAGGGCCTGCATTAAAATATGGTATTGGCAGCAGGAGAGTGGTAGTCATAGGAGCATCTCCACTTCTATCAACAGACGATTGCCTTCTGAAGCAGAGAGAGCCATCTCATACCTGGTGACCCAGGTATTTAGACTGAGGCGGTCATACTTCAAGAAGGTTTATCAGCCACTAATAAAATGCAGTGGGAAAGCTGAGGCTCAGGGGTTCATCAAGAAAAGATCAAGATAAGCTCCTTGAAAGACTAGAGACCCAAGAGACAAGAGTCAGAGTGAGCCCTACAATGAGGGGGACTGGTGTACTTTAATGATCTATCCACCTGGAAATCAATCAGCATGATTGATCTGAAGTCACATTCAGATCAAGCAGCTATAACTGGGGAGTAGCCGAAGGATAGGGAGCTGTGCAGGTTATTAGAGAGTCGGGTTAGCCCAGAATAATTCTGCTTCAATGAAAGATTACTCAGTTGAGCCAAGGGAACTGGAATTTGCTTATCTATTGCACTTCTCTTCACTTCTTCCCAATTCAGCATGTTTTCTGAAATGAGACTGTTAAAAATAAATAAATAAAAAGTGCAACAGGAAATGGTGTTAGTGCACCCTCAAGAGATGCTTGTAAGTACAAAGGGTGCAGAGAAAGGACTAAGGAGTGACTATGGCTGGCACAGGAGGGGCGCCATGCCCTTCCATCAAGCATCTCTCTATAGTTTTGATTTTTAGGAATGCTGGAGAACCTTCACTGGGAATGATGCCCCATGTCCTTGCCTGGATCCTAGAAATACACTAAGCTGTTATCTGTGCCACAAGACCAGGTGGAGGGGGGGAAAGCAGACTGCTAAAAGACCCCTCCAGTGCAGCCCCTTTCCGGGACGCAGACTGTGATGAAAATAATCTCATAAATGGGGTCAGTGCTCTTACAGAAAAGGTCCCAGAGATGAGACTCATCTTCTTTTTGACATATGAGATCACACTGGAAGTCAAAGGCCTGTAACCCAGAAGAGGGCCCTCACCAGAACCAACCCAAGCTGGCACCCTGATCTCAGACCTTCAGCCTACAGGACTGTGAGAAAGAGATTGCTCTTGCTCTCACCACCCAGTCTAATGTCCTTTTTTTTTTTTTTTTTTTATAGCAGCCCAAATGGACTAAGACACCTTTCAAAACTCCATAAGACTTTGGGGCCCAAGGAAACTTGAACTGTGGAGGTGCTACTTCCTTCTTCCCTTGCCGTCTGCTGGGCTCACACAGCTGTGTGAGATTGAGTATCTGGAGGAATCCATGGGGTCCTACCAGTCCATGGACAGCCAGGACAGCCAAGTCACAGGGCCTAGTTTGGCAAAGTAGTGGGGAGGTTGTTGGTGGGGGGGGTGTCTCACATTTTGGACTGACGTGGCCAGAAGTGACTATGGTGACTATGAGAACAGTGTCATCTGCATGGATCTATGGCTTTGTAAGATGATCGTGAGGTAAAGGATATTGTAAGGGACTAGAGACCCTGGATGGGCAGGTGAAGGCTCAAATCCCGTGGGATGGATTGTCAATCACATGAGGCCTTATTTATACACACATATGAGTTAATCATGGTCAAACATATGCTTACACAAACACCTCTGGAACAGAACAGAGTGGGATCACTAGCTTTGGGATTAGAGACCTAGGTTTAAATGGGCTTTTTTTTGGCCTCCATAATAGTTGAATAAATACTAACTACTTCATAGGCTTCTTGTGATTGGAAACAACATTTAATCAAGGTTCTAGCACAGAAACTACCCATTAATACATTGTGTAACAGCCACGGCAACTCAGTCCCTCTGACAGATGGTAGTGGTGCATGTCTATAATCCCAGCATCTCAGAAGGCAAGAGGACTGCAAGTTCAAAGCCAGCCTCAGCAAAAGTGAAGCACTAAGCAACTCAGCAACTCAGCGAGACCCTGTGTCTAAATAAAATACAAAATAGGGTTGGGGATGTGGCTCAGTGGTTAAGTGCCCCTGAGTTCAATCCCTGGTACCAAAAAATAAAAATAAAAAATAGAAAGAACTGTACCAGAAAAATGAAAATAATTTTATTTTTTAAAAAAGAAATTACTCTATTTTGTATCATTAAAGCTGCTCTGGACATGTTCAGCATAGAAGACAGCAATGACTTTCACAGCAATGACTTTCAGGTCTCTTTCACGTTGAAACCCTGGGGACCTGAATCCGTTTCCTTGCAAGTAAAATTTAGTTAATAATACCTCTGCAGAGAGTTTGTTAAGGATTGTGTGGGATTTATGCATGCATGAATATTCCATAAGTGAATCAAAGAATGTGTCAATAAAGTGTGATTGTTATTAAAATAAGGCAGAACTTACCTCTCTTGAAGGCATATAAAATGTATATCATATGCGTTCTGGATTCATCTAGTCAGAGAAATATCTATCTTAAAACAAATGAGTGCACCATGCTCTTCATGATCTGGGATAATCAAATACACTGAATAATAAAATCAACTCTCATGACCCATGTAAGAACCAGGTGTGAGACCAATTTATACTGTATTGAAAATGCACTTCTTACAAGCCCCACCGTCTCTGTAAGGATTCGAATTCTATAGTATACTCAGCACCTTCTTAAGGAGTTACCTACTACTATTGTAGGATTGTGTTATTTATATCAACAATGATAATACTTAATTTTTAAAGATAGAGTTTTCTCTTTAAAAAAAAATTCCAGAATATCAGCATCACCATGCCCTGCACTGTCCCCTAATCCCTGAATCCCCAACAAAATTATCCCATCCTCTCTACAGAACATACTACAGACACACACAGGCTGAAGGCTAGTGTCTGACCTTGGGCATATTCATATTCTTTGTATTCTCTGATCAACTTGTCCACAAAGCATGAAGCAAGCGTGTGTACTCCCAAACTCTTTTTGTCAGATGTACTTTCGCTGTGATTGTATCATTTAATGGAGTGGTGTTCACACTGATAAAATATAAGTGCAAAAGAGAGTTATCCTTTCTAAGAAAAATAAATGTGATGTTTTGTAAAAATTAGATAAAGGTTGAAGTGCTATAAGAAATTACTTCCAAATAGGTATGCACCAAAAAAAAATGTTTAGGGGATTAAAGGTAAATTTTATTAAAAATATAGGATTCTGTATCCAGATGACTCTACAGAGATTTTTGCATTCTTGCTCCATTTAAAAGAACAAAAACTAGAAATTACAGACACTAATGAATACTTAAACATACTCACTTAGCCTTACTTTATAAGATTGGCAAATAAGTTAACATTAAAATATTTTAAGTTTTGGCAACAAGCTTAGGAAATATTTTAGGAAATGTTTTGGAAATACTTTCTATTAGAAATACTGTAAGTATTTAAGAAATCTGGTAATTCCTACATTAACTAGCATTCTATATTAAATGACCAACCTTACATCTTGATCACATCCCACCTCCCTGTAACTTGTTGGATAATAGCCTTCCTGGCCCAAACCCAATTAGACCTACATAATGATGCAAGAAAAGGCCTTTCCAAGGACTGTGCTCCACTATGTATAACAGACACTAGAGCAATAGATTCTATTATAAATGTTTTGTAGCACAGAAACTCATTGCCAACAGACTGAGCAGAACCCAGGGAGTGTGGCACAGACAGAACAGGTCCACACATGAAATCCCAGTCAGACCGAGAGCGACTACAGTTTTTGCCTTGTGTCACAGTGTGGAAGCCACACTGCACAGTGGGTAAGGCCACCTGG